CAGTTTGTCGTGAGTAGAACTATTTATTACTTTTGGTAGGAGTCGCCAGTTTGTCGTGAGTAGAACTATTTATTACTTTTGGTAGGAGTCGCCAGTTTGTCGTGAGTAGAACTATTTATTACTTTTAGTAGGAGTCTCCAGTTTGTCGTGAGTAGAGCTATTTATTACTTTTGGTAGGAGTCGCCAGTTTGTCGTGAGTAGAGCTATTTATTACTTTTGGTAGGAGTCGCCAGTTTATCGTGAGTAGAACTATTTATTACTTTTGGTATGATTCGCCAGTTTATCGTGAGTAGAACTATTTATTACTTTTGTCATTGCTGAATGTTAACTACAACTGACATTATTTGATGGTATCTAACATTGTTTAAACCTTTCTTTAACCCTAATGCTGCAGGGGAGTAGTGACCATCACGTAAGTAACCGGCTTTCTTACCTCACACAATAAGGTCCATTTTTCATTTGTTACTTTATAAGGTTGTCTACATAATTCATTCTCTGCACATCGTAATAACATTGTATGTAAGTGTGAACATGAAGTGGTACAGTAGTGTTGATTATATGATACTGGAGTTTTACATATTTCATCCCTACAGTTCTCCTTATCCAGTCGTTTTAGGAGAATGGCATTCTGTGAAAGTGACTCGACAAAGACGTCGTGGGTCTCTACAGGTCGACGGTGGACTGGAGGTTTACGGTGAATCTCGGGTATAGAAATGTTTGGCTCCTAAATATAAAACAAAACAAAAAATGTTATCTACGCGTTTATTGATAATAAACTCTCTCAGGATCATTTGTAAAGTTTCAACACTCCTACAACTGTTTGATGTTAACAAATAAACTGTACAACTGTTCGATGTTAACACCTAAACTAACAACTGTTTGATGTTAACAAATAAACTAACAACTGTATGATGTTAACAACTAAACTAACAACTGTTTGATGTTAACACTTAAACTGTACACCTGTTTGATGTTAACACATAAACTAACAACTGTTTGATGTTAACAAATAAACTAACAACTGTTTGATGTTAACAAATAAACTGTACAACTGTTCGATGTTAACACCTAAACTAACAACTGTTTGATGTTAACAAATAAACTAACAACTGTTTGATGTTAACAAATAAACTAACAACTGTTTGATGTTAACACCTAAACTGTGCAACTGTTTGATATTAACACCTAAACTGTACACCTGTTTGATGTTAACAAATAAACAAACAACTGTTCGATGTTAACACCTAAACTAACAACTGTTTGATGTTAACAAATAAACTAACAACTGTTTGATGTTAACACCTAAACTGTACACCTGTTTGATGTTAACACCTAAACTGTACACCTGTTTGATGTTAACACCTAAA